ATCTTTACCTGATAATCATGGTAAGCAGCATTTATCTGCAGCTGCTTCTTACCATCATTTTATTAGGTCAGTCCAGGTAGGCAATGTCAGATGGCTTAAGCCATGCTGCCCATGCAGTCCTGCTGTCACTTCTTCTCTAGACTTGGATAGTGCCATGCAATGGGCTGGGCATTTCCCCTTGAGGACAGCAAAGGAAGCTTTCCTCCCCAGGCACAGATCGCACAGTGGAGGAAGTGTTCATGCTTGGACAGGCCAACATGTCCTGGCTAATACTTTGGATAGTTCTGTGTTTATTGAGCTGAGCTCTGACTGCCTACACTAATGACAACAGGTTATTTGTGCGTTGGTACTGCCTTCCAGAGAAAGTTCTCACGGCATTTCATAAGCCCAAACTGCTACAATCCTCCTGAGAGGCAGGTAGGACTTAGTACAGCTCGACCAGCAAGAGGTAAACTGAAGCACAGAAAGATAAAGTGACTTGCTTAAGGTGACAGGGTCAGTCATTAGTAAAGCAGAGAAAGGAACCTAGAAGTCCTGACTCCTATCCCTTCATTCTCATTCATAGGCCCATTCTTCTATCTACCTAAAGGAGGTCCTCCAATTATGCCATTAGATGTAGCCTAAGCTTCAACTTGCCTTGACAGTAATTAGTCCCATCACCTCCATATCCTGGCAGACACTGGCAATAGAAATAGTTTTTCACTTCATCCTGCTGACAAATTGCCTTTGGATGGCACTGGATTCCCCTCCTAGTACATTCCTGTTTGTATGGATCTGGAAAGAAAGACTGTTTACAATGTGCCTGGCAACTGCATGCAAAGCAGGTCAAATGCCCTTCACACACAAGGGCTCCCATGAGACCCAATCCCACAGGCTGTTGTAATTAATGTAAAATTAACGCCCATCATCTTTAACAGGCCTGTTGTCAGATCCATCTTGCTTAAGGGACTCACAGACCCAAATTGAAGTAGATTGCCCAGCACGGATTGGTAATTTGATTAAGTTACAACAAAATTAATCTTGAAATAGATTTTGCTTGAGTTTCTTTCATAACCACTAACCTGGTCGAAGTTTTACCATTCCTCCCCCCCATATAACTGGAAAAAACTGAGCCAGATGAAATGTACATGCAGCTCCTTTTCCAATCAGGAATCTTTATGTTGCCTCATTTCATATTTATAGATACACATACATATAATATGAAATGTGACAGCATCAAGATTCCCGATGGAAAAGTCGCTGCATGTACATTTCATCTGGCTCCGTTTTTACAGTTATGTGGGGAAAAATTGGCAAAACTTAGACCAGATTAGTGCCCATATTATAACAGCATTTCAGAGATCTTCTGTCTGTGGAAATCCGACCCTTCAGTTTTCTGTGGGTTAGGAGGGGGGAAAAATGTCAGCCTTTGATTTTTAACGTGGCATTTCTGTTAGAAATGTGAAGTCTGTTGAATTCACAGAAACACGGATTTCCATCGTTTCTGTGAAATAGCAAATCATTTCCTTTGACCAATACACAGAGCCCCCTTTTGGCTGTCAGCCTCTCAACGCACTGGTAAGAAGGTTTCCCTCAGAGTACCGAGAACCTCAAGCTTTAACCCCCGTTCCCAGCAAGAAGCTGTGTCATTTCCAGGGTTCACGAAGGACTCACCGCGGATTTTGCTCCGAGTTTGGCTGATTAAAGACAGGAGGATGAGCCACCTGCCCGGCATTGCCAGAGAAGCCGTGGCTCAGTGCGAGCCTGGCATCCTGCTCCTCCTGCTGGACTCAGCAAGGCCGCGGGGCGGGCCCGGCGGACGAGCAGCCGAGGGAGCCATGGCGCCCGGCGCGCGGGGGCCGGTGCCGGTTCAAACGGTCGCAGGGTTCCGAGTCCCGCCGGGCGGAGCTGTCCCGGGGCCGGCGGTGCTGAAGTGCCTCGCAAACAACCCCGCGAGCAGCCCGGGAGCCCGCTTCTTCCCGGCCTCCGCCCGAGGCCCCCCTCTTCGTCCAGCCCAGCTGCTCTCACGGTATTACTGCCGGGCTGGCCGGGGGCGCCTGGTGTCCTGGGCCCCCCTTCGCGCAGTCCGAGCCACGCGTCCCCGACCGGCGAGCGCCACGCCGCGCGGGGAGCACGGGGCTTGGGCGCAGAGCGGCGGGGGCTGTTCGGGGCCGCTCCGCCTCCGCCGCATCTCGGTGGGACTGACCCGCCCTCCAGGCACGGCCGCTCCCGGCCCGGCGGGGGGGCGGGGGG